TCCTCTGCAGTCTCGTTTTGCCAGCTGTCCCAGCTCTGTTAGACACTCCTGTGCTGCTCGCAGCCATCTTCTGCCATCTGCCATCACCACTGTGATGCGAGTGACAGCCTCCGTGTCACTGCTTTTCTTATGGATAATGGTTATTTGAAATGCCCTGCCCTGTTTCACTGCTTGAATGCAAGAGTAAATGCAGTGAAGCAGTGAGGAGGGTTGCACAGGTGCTGGCTGTAGGTGAAGTTTTCTGGGGTTGTTCCTCACCTTTCCAGGGGGCTTCATGAGGCTCGCTCTTCCTTTGCAGACACGTGCGCAACGGGGCGGTGATTGCACGCTGCAGCCAGCCTGAAATCAGCTGGTGGGGCTGGCGAAATGCTGACGACGAGTATCTTGTGACATCTATTGCCAAAGCCTGTGCCTTGAACCCTGGAGTAAAGGTACCCGGTGGCATGCCACACAACGGGAGCAGCGACGGCAGCGAAGCCTGTGATGCTGACTTTGGTGAGACAGCTCGCTCCCTTCTACTGTCCTCAACGTCTGAATTATTTAGTCCTTCCTACCCCAAGTTGCTGTTGCTGCTAGCAGGGCTGTTAGAACACAAGGTTTAAGCCCAATATCCAGATGGATAATCTGGGCTCTGTCATGCCTTGACCGCAGTGTGTGAGACGGGTCTTGGCTCCTTCACGGCCAGTGTTGGGTGGCACTGGAGGCCTGTCGTAGGAGGGAGGGAGGTGCCAGGAGCTCAGTCTGTGCTGTCTCTGCAGATTCGTCCCTGACCGCGTGTTCCGGCGTGGAGAACACAGGAACTCCTCAGAAGCTGCTGATTCTTGATGCCAGGTCCTACACTGCAGCTGTGGCCAACAGAGCAAAGGGAGGCGGCTGCGAATGTGAAGGTACAGAAGGCTAAGCATGTCCCAGAACACCTTCCTCTTGGACCTGCTTTGTCGAGCGGGTCCTAGAGCACAATTGGGGGATTAGGTCAGCATTTTGGTGCTCAGTCTCTGGAAGGACGTTCCCCTTCTTGCTCCTGCAAAGTCTGTTACTCTAGACGTTTCACTGTTGGCCAGCAAGGCTTTTGTAGAAAAACTACCTACCTGGAGACCAGAAATGATGCTGTGAGGAGACAGCTAAACTAAGTGTATGGAGGCAGTTGCTGCAGTGGCAACAGCCCTCTCTGAATGCTTCTGTCTCTGTTGTGTTCAGAGTATTACCCAAACTGTGAAGTCGTGTTCATGGGCATGGCCAACATCCACTCCATCCGGAACAGTTTCCAGTATCTGCGTGCTGTCTGCAGTCAGGTGCCAGACCCCAGCAAGTAAGTAATGGTTCTCTAGCTGAGTTTGATGCCATATCTGTTACTGTCCTGGAGGGTTTTCCCTGCCTTTTCCTTTTTTTTATCCCAAGTTTCTGCCTCAGAAATGGAGGCATAGGAATGTGCTCACAGTGCTTGAATACGGCTTATTTTGATCCCTGGAAATCCAGAAGGGATTGCAGCACTTCCTCAGTGTCGCTTGGTTGTGTGTGTCCTCTGAGGGTTTCTAAAATGTAGCTGTATCTGGGGAAAAATTGAAATTAGGTGTTGTATTTTTTGCACTATTCCCAGGCTGCCTGACTCTTCTTGATCATGTTTTAGAAAAGACTGATTTGCACTGAGGACTCCAAAAATATTTGGCTTAAAATATTTGGTTTTTTTTCCACTGGAGAGCTAAGCAACCATTTTTTCGCTTTTTGCACACCTTCTAGCTGGCTTTCAGCCCTGGAGAGTACCAAGTGGCTGCAGCACCTTTCTGTCATGCTGAAGGCAGCAGTGCTGGTCTCCGGTGCAGTTGACAGAGAAGGACGTCCAGTGCTGGTTCATTGCTCAGACGGCTGGGACAGGACTCCGCAGATTGTAGCACTGGCAAAGATTCTTCTGGACCCTTACTACAGGACCATGGAGGTATCCGTTGTGCTGTGCTGCTATTTCATTGCCTCAGAGTCTCCAGAGAAAGGAGCAGGATCGCGTTTGGCAATAAGCTTAGCGGCATTTCAGAGCTACTGTTGTGGGTGTTGGGTTTTTCCATGTTCTCTTCCTGCCTGTCTTCAGTGAGCTCTACCTCGCTCCTCTGTCCAGCTTCAAGTGCTGTGGTAAATAACCTCTTGTGTTCAAGGTACAGCTGCTTCCCTGCTCTGAATTGTGCATGTTCTCCAAGCTGTTTATTGTGTAGAAATAACAGCTGTTAGTTCATGTTTGGAAACCTCTGACATTCAGGTAGCTTTGCTCCCAAACCAAGCACCGGTGCAGCCTCCTTTCCAGCCCTTCAGAAGTCCTGAGTTTGCCTGGCATTGCTGGCAGATGGGGCTTGCCTTGTCCTGCAACGTGCCTACAGCACAGTGTGTGCATTTAGGTTTTTTTCTTTTATTCACAGGGCTTCCAGGTGCTTGTTGAATCAGATTGGCTGGATTTTGGTCACAAGTTTGGCGATCGCTGTGGTCATCAGGAGAAGGTGGAAGATCAGAATGAGCAGTGCCCAGTTTTTCTCCAGTGGCTGGATGCTGTTCATCAGCTTCTGAAGCAATTTCCTTGCCTCTTTGAATTTAACGAAGCTTTTTTGGTAAGAAATATGCATGCAAACATCTTTTTATCCCTTGCCAGATGTGAGTAGAGGCAGAGGGAAGGCTATGATATTTTACAGTGTTGTAGTTGAAAGAAAACAAAAATTGAATTCTTTAAAAACGGGAAAGTGTCTGAGTAGTGCTTGGGCTCTCTACTGACATTCCTGACATACCTTCACTGTGTGGGTCCAGCCCTGCCCTTCAGTTGTGGTATTTTGACCTGGTTCTGTATGTGTGATGCTTCTGCCGGCTTCTGTTAGCTGCTTGCAATTTCCTCCTCCTCCCAGCGGGTACTGCAAGCTTGGAATACCCTGCAGATTGCACAGTGATGAAGGGTTTATATTCTCTGGTTTCTGTGAATCACTTCTTCCCCAGGTCCCTTTCCAGCCCAGTGAATTCAGATACCACCAGCAGCACTGTTTTGCTTAAAAGCCTGATTTGCATATCTCAGAGCAATATGAGTCTGAAACATTTAAAAAAAAAATTACAGAAACGATAGCTATTAATCTCTGTCTTATCAAATAATACAGGTCAGGGTTGTAGAGGGATGGGTATGATATCAGTTGACTGTTGCTTTCACTTTTATTCCTGTTGCTGTCCCCTCTCTGCCCTGCCCTGTGTGGAAGAGAGCAGCAGGGTCACTGGCCGGGTAGGATGTGCATGAGCCATCCCAGAGGGGTGGAAGAGGTTTCCCCTATAGACAGCAGACACCGTTTCCCAATGGCCCTGACAATTGTTCCCCTTCTGATACTGCAGGTGAAGCTGGTGCAGCACACCTATTCCTGCCTCTATGGGACCTTCCTTGGGAATAGCCCCTGCGAGCGAGAGATGCACAACATCTACAAGCGTACCTGCTCCGTGTGGTCCCTCCTGCGGGCTGGCAATAAGAACTTCCACAATCTTCTCTATATGCCAGGGTCTGAGCAGGTCAGCAGAGCTCCTGACCCAGCTTTGCAGGCTTTCTGCGTGCCAGGCACCAGGGACTGTGTGGGGAGAGGCTGGAGGGGTTTCCTTTTGCGTTCATCTCTGATTGTAAGTGGTTGTTGCAGGTGCTGCATCCGGTGTGCCACGTGCGAGCACTGCACGTCTGGACAGCAGTGTATCTCCCAGCTTCCTCACCACATCCTCTAGGACAGGATGATATGGACATTTACCTGCCCCCTGGATCTCAGAGCCAGGAGTTCAGTGGCAGATGTTTGGACAGGTAAGAGCCTAGAGCTCCAGGCCCAGGCTGCCACCTACCCACAGGCTCTTTCC